ACGCTCCTCAGCGGCAGGTCTCAACATCAACGTCAGCAAGACTAAATCGTTGGATATCAACACGGGAAATCCATCCAATTTTACGGTAGCTGGTCAGGAAGTGGAGAAGGTTGAAAGTTTCCAATATCTTGGCAGCCAGATAGCGTCGGACGGCGGAACCAAGAGTGACATAGGTGCACGGATCAAGAAGGCAAGGGCTGCTTTTGCGAGTTTACGAAACATCTGGAAGTCAAATCAGATTAGTCTCCGCACGAAGATCCGAATTTTCAACTCTAACGTGAAATCTGTACTGCTGTACGCTAGCGAAACATGGTGCGTATCAGCGGAGATCACACAGAAGCTGCAGGTGTTCATCAACCGATGCCTGCGGTATATAATTCGTGCTTGGTGGCCTCACAACTGGATTTCGAATGCCGAGCTCCATCGACGGTGTCACCAGAAGCCGATATCGACAGAAATTCGGGAACGTAAGTGGAGGTGGGTTGGCCACACTCTACGGAAGAGCGGAAATGAAATCTGCAAACAAGCGCTGGATTGGAATCCAGCCGGACATCGCAGCAGAGGCAGACCCAGGGGCTCATGGCGGCGAAGCCTAAACAAGGAGATTAAGCAAGTCGACCGGAATTTGACCTGGGCCCAGGTCAAGGCGAAAGCAAACAATCGCCCAGGATGGAGATCTTTCACGTTGGCCCTTTGCGCCAGGGATGGCGCTCAGGACACTTAAGTAAGTAAGTAAATTCTAGTTGAAATTCTATTACTACACTATGTTTGTTTTGATTCGCTATGAAAGTTTGACAGATAACATCAGGGGTGTGTGGATTCATGCAGAACATGCAGGGGTGAGTGAAATAGCTTGGGACTGCTTGGGACCGTTGTTCTGGTACTGAGTGAGCCAAAAATAATAATGATTTTCTTCGGGACCCAGTGGTCTTAGAGTTACCTCTATGCTAGAAGGTCCCGAAATAATGTGCTCAACTTTTTGGCTCAGCTCTGGTACTCTCTTCGGTCCCAAGCTAATCGATTCACCCCTCGAAACATAGGAAAAACCAATAACCCCTCATTTTATCTGTCAAACTTTCATAGCGAATCAAAACAAACATTGCGTAGTACTAGAATTTCGACTAGAATGGGATACGTTAATCGTTTGCTTGGGACCAATAGGCTAGGCAAGTAGTGCGCCAATTTAAAATCGTTAGTTTCGTATTGATTGTTGGTGTTACTGCTTTTTGGTGTGGTCTGAGAAGATGAAGCGGTATTCTTCAAGAGTTCTGCTATTGTTCTCTTAGAGCAAGCTTGCAGAGACCTCTTAATTTTGTCTCCCTGCCTCGCGCAGTCAGTCAGGTTATGCAGGCTCTCCTTGCAGTACACGCATTTTGGAGGAGCACCGCAAGGGCCCTCTTGATGCTGCTCGCCACACTGATCGCAGCGTGGTTTGTTCGAGCAGTAGTCCGATGAGTGTTCAAGTTGTTTACATTTCGAGCAGTTCATTACCCGAGGTACAAACACACGTACAGGCAGCCAAACCTTGCCAATAGCGACGTAGTGAGGTAACGCTGAACCCGAAAAGGTCACACGAAACGAGTTTGACAAGTAATAAGATTTTTTGGAGCCTACGACGGATACTGACTGCATTTGAAGGCAGTCCAATATCTTCACCTTTGGCAGAGCACGGTTCTTAAAGATTTCGAAGGAATCGGGACCCAAGAAATCATCTTTAGTCAAACTAGTTTCGGTGACCTCTCCTTCAATTTCAACCTCACTACTGGGTATGTAGACTCGGTATTCCAATGAAAAAAGCTCGCACGCAACAATTTGGTAAGCCTGCTTCCGGTCATCAACGGTAACGCGCAGTTTTATTGGTGTCACCTTGAAAATATCGGTAACGGCCGAAAAATGTGTTGTTAGATCCTTAATGATCCTCGGAATGTTCAAAGGTTTTTGTTTGGGCCGGAAAAAAACAATCCATGGGCCTTTCGAGGCTTCTGGGTAAACCTTTAGGCGGGGGAGCGCAGAGATTTTCGGGGGCAATAGTGTGGGGGGTGCAGGTGGACGAGAAGGGAATGGTGTGGGTGAGGGCTGTGGGCGATAACTTTTCTTGGGATATGCTCCAGTATTTTTGCTGGAGAGTGAGTCAACTGGAACGTCAAGGGTTTCCATATCAACAACTTCCTCGTGTGAGGTGGAATTAAGAGTTTCGTCGTCTGAGATGGAAAGCGACCATCCCCCGCCTTTATCATTTTCATCTATTGCGGTTAAATATCGCCGCAATGGTGTTTTTTTAATTATATATATAGAGTACAACATAAGAAAAAAATCAACTGGTGAGATGCTATTATTTGCCCCAAGTTGGGTCAATAACCTGATAGCTGGTATGCCTCGATCACCTCGGTAGGCAATTTAACGTGCTTGCGTTGTTGCTATCAATGGGGTGATGTGCCGATAGTGGTGATGATTTTACAGATGTTTATGTTGCGATGATGATGTTGATGTTAAAGCTGGACCGTAATCAAAGCGCTCGGCGTATGATTAACGGCTTCCTCACTCGCGCACTAGTTGTCTTAACACTATGTCAACAACTAACTTTGGCGAGAAAAGACACTCGCGTGGGGAAAAACTCAAAAACTCAAATGATAGTGTCGTACAACGAGACCGATGCGACTTGACCGGCTCAGCTTGCGAGACGGAATGAGCCCCAAACCTTAAAATATATAGGATTATTAAGGAACCTAACTAAGACTAAGTCAATCGACCAATAATTAACAACATATCACAGACAAACAGACATAACACATTGAATACTTCTCACTGTAAAACATCGTCGCTAAAACATTATCGCCATCTGTTGAGTACACTGTGGTGGGTAGTACGCTGAACAGATGGCGGTAGTGTGTAAACGTCAAACGCGAGGGAATTGACTATGCGCGCCACAGGTGGTGTTACTACCAACTACGATACTTTTAAATTGGCCGTTAAATGCTTATTCGACGAACAACTTGCGAGTTTTATGTCTGTTTGTCTGTGAACATAATGTCCATTTTAATAAACCGGGAATTTTTCTGCAGTTGTTTTTTCGACTTTAAGGGCCTAAACAAATATTTAATATTTATCGATTGAAAAGATTCTAGTTGGGTTCCTCGAGAATTTAATTAGCGCCAAAACTAATACGAGACAACAAGAATTTGCCTTGCGATCTCTAGAAGAAAAAAAAAACGGTTCCAAAACCCTTGAAAAAATCTAAAAATGCAATAAAACAAAAAAAAGCTGCTACGTCCCGACGCACACCTTGTTTGACGCACTAAACAAAATCATGTAAATTCAACAAATAACGACTGTTTAACTTTTTGTAATATACATATCGGCAAATACTTAGCAATGCCCACTAAATTACAAGTTTGACCTTTTTCGGAGCATCTTTAGATTTAGACTCTTGACGGCGGTTTAGAGCTGCAGATTTTTTTTTTTTTGCGTTTCTAAACTTTTTATTTTCTGCTCGGATCTGTTCTTCCTTCTGCTTTTCCGATTCCATTTTTGCATAGTGCTTTATATTCTTCACATGCAGCGACAGCAGGTGGACGGAGACGCTGACGTGCAGCTTTTGACACCTTGGGTGTTGTTTGTGGCAAGAAAAATGCTTTGTGGAACAGATTCTCCTTTTCCTCAGAAAAACCTGATTGAGATAAGTTGTGGGATGTTGCTGACTCCACATGCTTATCCGGATGCTTTTCCTGACGCGTTTGGAAGTTATCTGTCTCGGTTGGCTCTCCCGGTGGTTCATCAAGATTGTCACTTTCTTCGTGTCCTTCCGTACATCTGGCGGATTCGCTTGTGCTTTCTGTGATCTGAAATTTGTCCCACATTGACAACATGCGCATCCAATCATCTAAAATTAAATTAATATTTATAATTAACCTATCAGGTACTTCTAAAAACGTGTTCAAGAATTGGTACCTTCCATTTCATCTCACCCGAAACCATAAAAACCGTCTGTTTGATTCTCCTCAGGCTTATTAGAAATCAATTCTGGCTTTTTTCATCTCCTGTCAAACATCGAACATGTTGGTTTCATTTGCAGGACCCATTCAAATCAAGGCAGACTGATGTTCCTCAAATAGTTTTAACTGCCCAACCTTGAGGTTCGATTCCAAACCCGGTAGATACATTTTTTCCTTAGTAGTTTCATTGTTATCTTCTTTGTCCGGTTAAATACTGCCGTCCCTCTCTCCATTGGGCTTATCTTGCTCTTGCAGAACCATTTGATAGTTAACTGCAGTAACATTCCACGGCACGATTGCACACTCTATGAAACCATTAACAAGTTTTTCATATCATCTACCGCTTTTTTCAACAGCGGTGCAATTTCATTCTTTGATAAGGACTCCCCGGCATGAAAGGTTCTTCTTCTTCTTCTTCGCATTTCAAGCTTATTGCATATTGCATATTAGCTTATTGCGTGCTCTCAACTTAGTGTTCTAGATGCACTTCCACAGTTATTAATTGAGAGCTTTCGATTTCCATTTTTGCATTGGTATAATTGTGTGGCAAGTCCAATCATACTTTATGCCCAGGGAAGTCGAGAAATTTTCCTACCCGAAAAATTCCTAGACCGGACCGAGAAATTGAACCCAGCCACCTCCAGCATGGTCTTGCTTTGTAGCTGCGCCTTTACCGACTGAGCTAAGGGAGGCCCCATGAAAGGTTAGATACTCAATAATATGTCTGTTCCATTCAATTGTCTAAAAGTGAAACGTCCAATGGATGGAATGGAATACATGTGTCGAATTCGTGAACAAGGAAATAAGATAGATCTGGTTCGCGCGACGATATTCAACAGTCTGGTACAATGCGTGAGAAGAATGAGCAATAATTGGTATCCGGTATTCTTCAAATAATCAAAAAATGTTTGTTAATTTATCATCATGATAAACATTTGTAGGTAACAACAAATAGAAAAAATAACAATTCAGATTTTTTTTTTGTTTTATTGTTCTTCTACCACATAATCTATTACTGAATATTACAAGCGAAATACAAAATAAACAATCCAAAGTTTCCTGTCAAGACGCTGCCGTTTGTATTTACTAAACTACATGTTTAGTTTATTAACATCCAAACGATGGGGTTCCCTTTTTTCTATAAACTAAATAATAACCTAAAACATGACACGATAGTCTTACTTACACGTTTCTTGTGCTGCTTATATCCAACGTTTGATTGATGATCGAAAAAAATGCACATTATAACTTAAATGCGACATTATGCCTCTTAACTTAAAAACAGTGGACTTGTAAAAAATCATCAACAAACTCTCTACGACTTTGTAAAGTATGACTGATAAACCATTCCCAACGAGCTGGCCGCAAACCAAATGAAGCAACTCCACCACGTTGCGAAGCCAAACAACCCCCGGTAAACGTCTTTGGTGAAAACTGCTTTCAGACTCTGCAACGAGAGCTGAATTGTCTCTGCCGTCGATAGGATATTGCCATCATCTGATGTAGCGTCTTGTTCATTTGATACAGCTGCTGATGCAGCTTCCATTGCTCGTTGAGTTTCCAAATCGGCAGAACACTCATCGAGGGGTAAAGCCTCCTGCAGGAATCCGGTCCACGTGTAATCGCCAAGAGTTTTGTACATTAGAGCAAAGAACAAACACATTAGGATCGGCGCGACGTATTGGAGTGTCACCACGCATAGATAGTAGAAAATGGAGCTAATTTTCTTCTGTATATCCACATTGGTGATGCGACCGGCTTCCTTCTTCTGGTCCTCGATGCGATGGTAGGCCAGATTAAGATACGCTTGCAAGTAGACGGGCATCAACACGAAACGTAGCACCACGGCGAAGACCACTGCAGCCAAGCGAATCGTTTCGAACGCTTCCGATGAGAGTCTGTAAAGAAAGTAATTTTTGAGAAATTGTACGCATTTTATAGTTGTTTTCAAACTTACAGTGGAGCTGACATTCCTGAGAACACACGACCTGTAAGATAATCTCGAGTGAGCGGCTTAATCCAAAGCAGCACCAGCAGGAAAGGCATAGCAAAGCTGAGATTCAGTAGGAATTTTAACCATACTCGATCCTGACAGAATCTGAATAAAAAATTAAATCGTGAAACTAAGGAACAATGGAAGCCAATATGTGTAGTTGTACTTGAGTGAGTCCCAGTGCATTCGAGCCATTCGCAGTCCGGGGAAAGTGAATAGCGCTCCAAGAATTCCACAACTGACAGCAATGAAGAATTTCACAACGATTTTGGATGCTGGTCCACTGCAAAACGTGCCCAAAAAGATAGTCAAGTAAGTCGCTTAAATGATTAAGAATTAAGTTACTTACGATGAATTTAATCCTTGCGCTTCTAAAAATACGGAGGCACTGTCGTTGAAGCTTTGGTAGGCACGATCTAGTCCAACTTCCAGGGTTGTTTCTGGCACAATCAAAATTATCATTGCAATCAGCAAATAAACGAGCCCAGTCACGATGCATGTCGATCGCTCGCCGATCGATTCCTCACTTTGGAAGTATTGAACCGTGAGAGATGCTAAAAGTTTGCTATTTTAAATTGTATGTTAAGGAAAAGTTTTAGTTAAATCAACACAGGGATTCCTTAAATCGATCATTTCAAATTGAAGAGGATACAATGCAAAGAATACGACTAGGAGACACCACACCATGCTCAGGTTGAATTCCTCCGTGATGGGAAAGAAGAACTGATATACCTAGAAACAGATTGGAAATTCAGATTAAACCCAGGTCAAATCGATCAGCACATTCACCTACCTCCGAGACAATGTAGACAATCGAGGTATACAGGCTAAAATCCACCAGCCACTGGTATTCGGTGTAATATCTCAAATGGACAATATCATACGGAGCGATGCCGATTGTCTCCAACTGAACATCCAAACTCCGCGGAACGTGAAAGGTTGTTGGCTTATCATGCTCGACATGGCCATTTCGTTGTTTGTCCTTCTTAGATTTGTTTTTCTCCCTAGGGATACCAGAAAGCTTCCGCAGCTCGTCATCCGTTGGATGCAGATATCGCGTCAATCCGGTGGAACAGAGGATCCATTTAGCCAGTGAGAAGTGTGGACTCAACTTCTGGATCACACTGACCATAATCAGTGTGATCACTAGCTGCGCTCCCAAAAGGGCCTGCGAAAAAGATAGGAAAAAGCCGGTAACATCCAGATTTTATTCATTATGTTACAAACTTCTCAAAATGCGCGTGGCGCAAGTCGAGGAAGCTCTCATTTAACACTAAAATTAGAATTAATTTCTAAAAATAGGTCATTTGCATTCTGAAAGGTCGAGCTGTTCCGATCTGGGCCCTTACCATTGTGGGTTGATTTTAACACTTATTTTCAAAAGAAACAATCATCCAACACTAACATTCGTTGGTAGCCATACAACCGAACGATGTGAACTTGAAAATTATGTAATTTTAATTTAATACAAACTATATTTCCACTAAATTAACTGAACACGAATCAATTTACACTTCAAACCCGCACGAAGAATCACCTCTTTGGAGATGATCGGTGAAGGTGACAGAAGTTTAATAAAAATAGAATCCATCTCTCGAAGTGTCGAACCATGTGGAGTACGTTCGCGAAGTGCATAATCGAGAAAAACTAGTACAGTACATTCAGATAAATCCGATAATATTGAATAAAACGTGAAAACTCATTGTTTTCAATATATTGAACCACTTTATTCATCTTTCAGCATCATTTTACCATAGAGTTTAAAAATGCTTTGCTTTGGTTTTTAGACTATCGTCCAAATATTCGACCGTTGTGAACAGCACCACTATCGAAACCGAGAGATACAACCCCTAATATAAAAACAATACAATAATCTAACGATAACCCACATGATAGAACTATTCCACATGGGGTTTTGATGATACCACAAACACATAGTTAATCAAAATATGCATATTTGTTTAGGGTCTGCTGATGTGTCCACAGTTGAAAGCGAGTTGAATTTATGATTGATATTGCACTCAAAAAACTCCTGCTTCCTCTACAGGCTTTTTACGCTTCTATCACGCAGAAAAAACTATCGTCGAAACAAAATTATTTGAGGTAAATTTAAACGTAAACTAAGTTTGTTCTGGCCACAAATATAAATTAGGTTGATTTCAAACGTATTCCATGTTTGAAGTCATGTGAAATCAATGTTTAAAATAAAAATATTGTTACGTTTATTTCAAAAAATTTCGTGTTGAAAATAAACGTATTTCTTTTTGTTTGGTTTGACAACTATGCGAAAAATAATAAATATGTTTATTTTAAACATGCTTCTCATGTTTAAAATAAACATACATATTTTGAAATTATTTAAGCAGTTGAATGCAGGGTAAAGCAAAATAAAACGGTTTGGAAAGAAATTAAAAAAAAGATCTTTGGGCAGGGCATCTAAATTCCTGCGCTCTTTCGGGTGCGATTAAGGGTGACTTGTGGGTATAGGGGTCCTGGTTTAGCAGGTTTAGTCGAGCTGGTTTCCTGAACCATATTCGGTTTGCCACTTTCAGGCCGTTTTCTGTTGAAGTTGAGCAAAGCTGGGGCAACTTTTTCCTAATGTAACACGAAGGAAATAAAAAGGCATGAAACGCTAAAAACCGTTTACATAAATCCTATATTGTTGAAATAAACATGCTTTTGAATTAAATTCAAACATAAATATTTTAGTTTTAAACAAACTTTCAATTAACTTTGCATAATTCATATGTTTAGAGTATAAACATTTATATTTTTGTTTCAAATGAACAAAATTCGTATCCATGATTGTGAGCGTTTTGCCGGCTCTCAACTTTGTGTTTTACATCACAGCAAAAAAAAAGTATTAGTAGTACACAGGAAAAAAAGTTGTTGAATATTTCATCCAAACTGCTGCGACCAGGTCAATCCATCGGTTGTGTAATATAACGATGTACGATGTACATCAATTGGGTTCTTTAAGGGTATTGAGGTAAATGCATATTCGTAATCTGCATTAAAATGGAACCCAAACCCAAAATTTCATCAATTTTGGTACACTGGAACTATTTTAAATAAGTTCAATTACATTTGCAAAAATCATCTTATTAGCGCCCCTTGGTGTCACTTTGTATGGGAGCGAGCTGTCAGTTTGTTAGTTTAGTGTCAAACGGTGAAGTTATTTTTTTGTTTAAATCTTGATTTAAAAATCGAGATGAAAGTGTGTGGGTTCGAAAAACATATCGCTGTGCTCGGAAAACGAAGCTCTTTCAGTTGATGTATAAAAAACGATATATTTTTCAAAATTAAAGAACCCAATTTTGCGAACAAAATTACATCCATTGATGTAATATTACATCTGGTTTTTGCTATTACATCATTATTTCATACATCAGCTTGAATTACATTGATCAATATAACATTTTTTTTGCTGTGTACAGTCTAGATTGAAATAAATTATTTTCCTCCCTAATAATTATTAAAATGATACAAGTATTTTTCTTCTGATAAAACGTTCAAAGCGAGGTTCAAACTGGGTAACAATAATGAACAAAATAACTGTCTCGTCAATTAAATTACAGCAAAATTACTGGGCTTTCCAGTTAACATTGCTGATCGCTACTCGAACCAATTACTGAATGAACAGTTATTTTTGACAGATTGACTTTACGGACAGTTCGGTAATACAAATTATTGCAGTAATGATTATTAGGTTCTGCAGCATGACGTCACGAATGAACTCAGTGTTAATCGGCTGAACCTTTTTGACAGTTCAGTGGTAATGTAAAGCACTTAAGGCCCAAACGCAATGTGGACGCAAGCGGAACGGAACCGGAAAGTTTGAGAGTTGTCACAAATGACATCAAGATGCCTAACCGAAGTCGATTTGGTTCCAACAAGTTTTAAATCCGACAAATTGGCTTACTCAGATCGGGCTTTTCCGCTGCCGTTGCCGTTCCGCTTCCGCTGTCATTGCGCTTGGGCCTTTAGTCGTTTTTTTCGAAAAAATATTTTATAAAATTTCCGAATTTTAACTTGAAAATTGTCGAGGAAATACGCGGTGAAAGCATAGAGGTAACTCTAAGACTAGAAGGTCCCGAAATAACGTGCTCAACTTTTTGGCTCAGCTCTGGTACTCTCTTCGGTCCCAAGCTAATCGATTCACCCCTCGAAACATAGGAAAAACCAATAACCCCTCATTTTATCTGTCAAACTTTCATAGCGAATCAAAACAAACATTGCGTAGTTCTAGAATTTCGACTAGAATGGGGTATGTTAATCGTTTGCTTGGGAACAATAGGCTAGTCAAATAGCGAGCCAATTTAAAATCGTTGGTTTTGTATTGATTTTTGGTGAAAGTATGTTGCTCACTGACATTGCAAAAGTGTGGTTTACATACTGCAGTCTGAAAAATTATCGAGAAAATCTAACCAAGAAAAAAATGACTAAGTCCACGTAAACAGTACCACCAACAATCAATACGAAACTAACGATTTTAAATTGGCTCACCACTTTAGTAGCCTATTGGTCCCAAGCAAACGATTAACGTACCCTATTCTAGTTGAAATTCTATTACTACACTATGTTTGTTTTGATTCGCTATGAAAGTTTGACAGATAACATCAGGGGTGTGTGGATTCATGCAGAACATGCAGGGGTGAGTGAAATAGCTTGGGACTGCTTGGGACCGTTGTTCTGGTACTGAGTGAGCCAAAAATAATAATGATTTTCTTCGGGACCTACTAGTCTTAGAGTTACCTCTATGGTACCACTGAGTTGCCATTCGATTGAGGTTAACCCCGGCGGTTCAAATCCTTATACTGGGCGATCCGCAATTCAAAATCCCAGTAACATTATATCATAGAGGTAACTCTAAGACCACTGGGTCCCGAAGAAAATCATTATTATTTTTGGCTCACTCAGTACCAGAACAACGGTCCCAAGCAGTCCCAAGCTATTTCACTCACCCCTGCATGTTCTGCATGAATCCACACACCCCTGATGTTATCTGTCAAACTTTCATAGCGAATCAAAACAAACATAGTGTAGTAATAGAATTTCAACTAGAATAGGGTACGTTAATTCGTTTGCTTGGGACCAATAGGCTACTAAAGTGGTGAGCCAATTTAAAATCGTTAGTTTCGTATTGATTGTTGATTATATTGAGTTCAGTAAAGTTAGTGTGTGGCTGCACTTATGGCCAAAATGTGCCGAATTCAACTCAATTTTGAGTTACTTATTGTCCGCGTACCAGATTACGTTCTCAGGATTTCTATTTTCCTCGACATGATGACATTTCGTTTTCGTTTCCATTTCTCAAAATATTCATGGCATCCCGTCTCCCTTGCCTCGTTCGTTACTTCCCTTCATCCACCAGTCATGATATTTATCACTGTCAGTTTGCGGTTTTCAAGCAGCATCATTGCGAAAAATTGCAATCTGTGACAAAATTGTCCATTAAACTGCAGAAAAATCGTTTAAATTAAATCAAAAATCGTACTTTGCACGGTGCCACATTCTGTCTAACAAGATGTCCGACAGGGAGGAACTGGTAAAACAATTTTCCGACGTAACGGGAGTGTCCGAAGATCGGGCCAAATTCTATCTAGAGGCAGCCAATGGAGAACTGCAGGTTAGTTTGTTGCGTGTAGCCATAACAAAAGAATTCCTGTCATTCAAAATATTACGTGGAATTTCGTTTCCTATAGGTTGCCCTGTCCAGTTTTTACGAGGGTGATAACGAGGGCGAGCGATCCGCTCCTGTTGTTTTAGATGATGATTCAGACGACGATAACGTGCCCATGGATTCGGTCCATCTATCTCGCTCGGATGTCAAACCAAAAGCTAAGAAAGCCCCTCAATCGTCCAAGTGAGTATCATGCGAGTATTGACTATATTTGCTCATGCATATCTAATAATCCGATTTGTTTAGCTTTGCTACACTAGCATCTCTGAACGATTCCTCTTCGGATGATGAAGAGGAGCAAGGGCAGGCGTTTTACGCAGGCGGGTCGGAACGTTCCGGTCAACAGGTACTAGGACCTCCGAAAAAGAATCCGATCAAGGATTATGTATCGGAAATATTCCGATCAGCCCAGCAGAATAATTTGGAAACTTTCGAAGGAGAAGCAAGCCCAAGCTCGAGTTCTTCGCTGTATGCAGGAACTGGTTATAGGCTGGGTCAAACCGACAATGATCATCAGGCCATCCCGGAGAGGCAGCGTGCATCCGGTAGAGATACCGATCATAATCATGAAGTCGTAACGTTGACCTTGTGGCGTCAGGGCTTCTCGATCAACGATGGGGAACTACGTCGTTATGAGGATGCGGCTAATAAGGAATTTTTTGAGTCTATTATGCGTGGAGAAATACCGGCTGAGTTGCGCTCAAAGGGTCCAACGATGATTCATCTAGATCTGAAGGATAACCGCCATGAAGATTATGTCAAACGGTCCGCTCCATTTAAGGCGTTTGCAGGTAGTGGTCAATCGCTTGGCAGTCCGGCACCGAATTTGGTGCTAACTAACCCTTCAACTTCGGTGGGAAATAATGAGGACAACGAAAAGAAGTTAGTTTGAATGTTTTTCGGCTGACATATATTGTTTATTGAATAATCTATATTTTTCAGGGCTGCATCTGGTTTGCCAGTGGACGAGAGTCAACCGACGACCAATCTGCAGATCCGCTTGGCGGATGGATCTCGTTTATCGGCTCGGTTCAACCAAAGTCATACGATCGACAATGTTCGGCAATACATAACAAAGTAAGCATACGAAAGCATTGAATATGCAACTTTTTTCATAACGGATCCTATTATTTTAGTGCACGTCCGCAATACGCAACACAGAGCTTCGCTCTGATGACGACATTCCCCCCTAAGGAACTTGGCGATGGTTCCCAGAGCTTGAAAGACGCTGGACTATTGAATGCTGCGATAATGCAGCGAATGAAGTAGTAGACATTTATTGTCAAAGGTAAGCTTCGGATATCTCAGTTGCAGTACCACTCTAGGAGAGAACATCGGTGTTGTATTTTTTGTTTGAATTTGAGGTGAAAGCGGAAAGCGATTGTTTGGACTGAGGATGTGGAAATCAATATAATTTTTTCTTAAGTTATGTCATGGTATGTGCCTAAAAGGTCCCAGTAATATTCACTTATTCTTTCTGCAGTTTGATATAGTAGATGTTTTCATCATCAAAAACACGTGTGGGAATCTGTTTGGATAAGTGATTCACACTATTCAAATACCGAATAATTTTAATGGAATAGTACTGTCTTACATAAAACATGCTTGTGTTTATATCGATCCGAACAGTGCCCGTGTCCCGTGGCAACGCTTACCATAGTTAATTCCTTTGAATACGTCTAAGTGGGGTTTTTGTTTTTAGTAGATGGTTTATATCGAAGACATCCAATTTCGCACTCCCTACTAGCAAATATTATTCCTTTCCGTGTCACTAGTTAAAGTTCATATAGTTCTCTGCATCTTTGTTAGGCGCTGTTCATAAACCACGAAGGCACTTCAGGAGGGGGTTGGTAAATGTCTACGGTCCATACAACAATTGTCTACGCAGGGAGACTAAAATCTCTCAAAAAGTGTAAGTTGCGCCCAAAATTGTCTCGAAATGATTCCACGACAATACCCGGCAGGTTATTCAACGGAAATCAATTTCCTGGTCGACCACTTGCCGGAATATTATCACCCGGAATGTACCATTTCTAGGAAAATAATTAACCGGAAAAAATCATTTGTTAGTGGTAGTAAAACGATGCACTTATGTAAGAATAATAAGAAGGGGAAATGTTGGCTTCGGCAATACCTTAACCTATTATCGTCAGGAGGGTAAACAACGTCCTTGAGAGCTCAATTTTGGCATGTGGATACATTGTGTTTCAGAGCAACTATTGGCCAAATTTGAGTGCTCTAGGACTTTGTTTACCCCCTGACGATAATAGGTTAAGGTATTGCCGAAGCCAACTTTTCCCCTACCCAATGCCACATAGTCAAAGCTCAAAACACATTAAAAAGATAAACTGCATAACTAGACCTACTTGTCAATACCGGCTACAGGTTTCTTAAAAAACGATTTCAATTAAACGAATAAAAAAGATGTGTATTACATATTAACGTATGATCTTCTAGAACCACATGGCAACACTACTACTAGATTGTACTAGCATTTTCACCAAAAGTACTAGATTATTTTGGTTCTATCCAAGGTTGCAAAGACTCATTTCAGCTAAAACAATGTTTTTCTAAATTATGAAATAATTAGATGCCATGATCAAATTTTGAATTGGTAGGATACAAGAAGAGGTTGCAAAGAATGTGTTTGACATATTAAACCTGTTTATTTCACTTCATGAGAGTCACAATGAGCGATTTTTCACAAACTCACTCACTCACTCACTCAGCGATCAGCAAATCGCTGATTGTGACTCATAGAAATCAAAATTTACAGGTTTTATGTTTCCAACGCATACTTTGTAACCTCTTCTTGTAAGTTACAAGTAAAACATGCCATCATACCGTCTTTTGGTTTTATTATTCCGAAAAACATTATTTTAGCTGAAATGAGTCTTTGCAACCTTGGTTCTATCTCTTTCACTCTACTCAAAACTGAAATGCATGAAAAAATGACAAAATGATACACTCTTTGCACACTGTCAAAGATCATTGCACACAAAATCAACTTTGTTCAAATAAAAACAAAAATGCTAGCCCATCTGGTGGCTGATGGCACAAGGTTCTAAGAAAATTCTATTACAGCGAACCACATTATTTTAGTTGATTTTTTTTCGCCAGTTAGTCTGTCACTTCGTTTGAGGTATGAACGCGTTCTAACACATCACTGCTAGATGGGGTACCTTCCTGGTGTAACGGGTACCGGGTGGACCAGATCCCGCCAGTCTGTCCGCAGCCTCATTTCCGGAAACACCGCAGTGTCCGGGAATCCACGGAAACACGGTTGAAGGTGGGACGTACCGTGTAATGGCTTGTTCAGGGGTGGCTCGTGGCTTCGGCTTCCAGCACCTGGATGATGCTATGTGAGTCCGTTAGCACAAGGATCGGTTGATCTGTCGGAGTGCATGGAGAATAGCTGCGGCTTCTGCAGAAAATACGCAACACGTCTCCGGTAGACTTAGACTTGTTTCAGTGTTCGGCCCTGTCACTCCGAGTCCAACTTCAGCCCGCGACTGCGATCCGTCCGTAAAGCGATGAACGTGCCCCTGATAAACCGACCCGAGAAGCTCTCCTGTCTTAATCCGCTTATCTATTTTTTTTTCCTTTGGTTTGTTTTTTTCCGTCGATCTTGTTTTCCGTGCTGAGCACCAATGCTACCGACGTGCCAGGAAGGCAGCTCCCACACCTGGACCCTACCTATCGACCCATCAACTCATGAACCGGGGACCAACGGCTTTACTTCCCATCCGAAGGAAGGCGTGATTAGAGATGTTATGCCTCAGAACATCCCGGCGGCGCCGACTGGGATTGAACCCAGGCCTGCTGAGGTGAGAGGTAATCACGCTTACCACTACACCACCGGCGCCGTGCTTATCTATTTTGACAACATTTGATCTACAACTCTTCTCTCCATGGTAGTGGACCCTGCACACAGAGGGGAGGTCAAGGTTGGCTGCAGTGTGGAGGGCTCTGTTCTCTCTCTTATCATTCCCGGATGTCTTAGCGGCGAGGGCAGCGGTTTTCGTAGCAATAGCTGCAGCAGATCGATAGCAGAAAGGGAGAATTCCGATTTCCACACATGGGGTGTTTGTAAGCGTGAAAGAGAGAAGGCCGGATACGATACGTACGTAGGTATTGTATACCGGAACGAGGATGCAGTTGTGGTTCTCGGTAGCTAAGCAGGTAATTTTGAGGCCGTAGAAAAGTCGACTGTTGATAAGGTGGAATCTCACGGTTGCTGAAGCGGTGCGGGCGGAATATTGTCCTGACGATGTAGATGTTGATTGTCCTGACGACAGTCTTCTTTCACCGTCCTGAAGTGCTGGCCGAAGCTTAGGATGCGATCCAGAACTACCAACACAACACGCACTATTTTTTTGAACGGAATCGAATGGTGATCGGTAGGCCCCGAATCAGATGGCCCGAATGGCAAATATGGCACCGTACACTCTTCGGTGTGGAGAGTTGGAAACCAATCGAAAGCGCCCACCTACCGACGGTGGAGACTGCTGCTTGGACTATATTCCTGGTCCACTTAGTCGTTCGTCCCGTTACGGCGATGAGTATGTCATCATCATAAGCTATTACGACAATCGGTACATTGCCACTCCAGTATCCTCGGGGAACAAATCCGAGCATGTTTTCCCGGCAATACCCTGGAAAGAACGATCAAGGAGGAAATTCCGTTCAAAATGCGTGATGTGACCTTCCAGGCCCCAGCCGATGAGCTACCCGATGACGCAGGGTCCGTTGTCCTGGGATTCCTTAAGTACTTTCCCGAGAGCCACAAAGTAATTAGAGGAGCCGTGTCCTTGCCGGAACGCATGCTGCCGTTTGACTCCAGGAACTGGCAGAGAAGACGATTTACCTTTCTCTCCCTCACTTTTGCCGCGCAGCAAGTAAGTGCAATCGGCCTATAGAAGAAGGCTTCTCCGCTCGCTGCGTTATTCTTCGGAATAGGCACTACCAAGTTTTGTTTCCAGAGTTCCGGGTACGAGTTGGTGAGCCACAGATCGTTGCAAAAGGCGAGAGGCACGCAATACAAAGAACCGGTGCGTTGAAGTTAAAATGCAATCAAAAGTACTTAACGTAATTAATGCGTTTTGATGTAGTACTGACGGTAATTAAAATTAACTATCCGTACTTAATGTAATTAAAAGTATTGAAAATGTAATTCATGTACTTTAATTCCGAAATTTCAACAGTAATTAATGGACATAAAAAGTAGTTAATATTCTACACAGTGTAATGAATGTAATTAAAGCAGCAAAATATTTATTTTAATTACATTACAGCCGTTGCCTGCATCGGAGTTAAAGCTACTTTGTTTCGCCGATGAAATTGACAAATCCAAGTTTCAATCGGCCACCGTGGCGCTGCAATCGCAGCGGTGATAAGTCCGAAATAATGTGTCAAACTGAATACATTTTTGAAATTTCAACCAAAAAACTATTATTTTGTATTTATTCTAGCGAGTTTCTGTGGGAGTCAAAACATGATCCGAGCAAAAAAGTAGTACTCGTAATAATGGTATATAATTCTGAATTTTATCGTGCTTTGTTTCGAAAATGTCTTCCAAATAAACAAACATCATCCAGATCACCCGATTCGTCCACCGACTAAATCTATTGCCACTTAAACATTAATTTCAGTCGGTGTATTAATCAGCAGATTAAATTGTTTTTCGTCTGGTGCTACACCGAGCAATCGGCCTATTTAATAGTTTTCCGTCGATGGATTTAGTCGGCCAACTTTGTCTGCTGTTTAATCGGCAGATGATTTCAAACCTTAACATGTTTTCTGTAATTTAACTGTCTTGAAGTAGCTTTTTATTTAGGAACAATGCATTACAAAATAATTTTATGCATTTTGTAGAAGGTTCATCCATGCTGACAAGAAATTTGCATGAAATTACATTGAAATTAAACAATTTTGCAAACAATCAATGAAATTGTCAAGGGCTGTCACAGACTTATCACCGTCGGTTAGTGCTTATTTCTGCCACCAGGCGTGCAGGAGTTTAAGTTGGATTTCTCAATTGACATCACGGCTCGAAACATTGCGACGATGGCGAAAGTGCACATCAGGTTAAAGGCTTAAGTCAATCGGATTTTACTCGTCATTAATGCATCGAAGACGACATACATGAGAGGAAGAAGTTTACTGCCTATAATCGCATATCAGTCCCATATGGATTTTCTACAATTTCGAGTTAACAGTGCTATCCACTATCAATTGGCATCTCCTTTCATATTACGTGATAAAACTACGAACTTTGATCATGAAAAATGTGAATACAAACATCAAGCAAAATAATCGCATATCAGTCCCATCCTAAAATTCAATCGTCCATAGTTAAAGCTATGCTTTTCGAATTGCCATATTTTTCGCTGATATGACAAAACATGCAAGCTTCATTGCAACTGATTTTATCTTGAATATATTATCAATAAATTTACTATGATTTTTCCAATATTTACATGGGAATTGCACTTCGTAACTTCGACGGTCATTTCCTCAATGCCTAATTTTTTTTAATATGGAAGCCCTATGTGTGATTATCCTCAACCGTAGGAGGTGTAAAGATTGATTGATTTATCTTTATTAGGGAGGCTTTCAGCCTGGGGCTGGTTCGCCTCCAACGGTGTAAAGAGCCATTTAACTGAATACTGAGAATCACCCGATACGACATTCTGATTAGCTGCTGGACAATCGTAACTTACCTTTCCGAACACTTACTACACAATGAGAGCCATTTGCCAACACTAGAGCCATCAATTCAACATCCGTTGTACGGTGATGCCAACGATATCTCGCCTCCCGTTAAATATTGGGAGATAGGGTATTTTTTTTATTGGGTATCAAGCTGGAGCTGCGTGACAGCTTTGTTTTCAAGACTTGACCCATTTGAATAAATTTTGCTTCTATCTTTCGGCAATACAACAGAAGGACTAGCCTAGGCAGCTTGAACACTGGATTCCGTCTGTATTGTTTCAAGATAGTTATGGAAAAAATGCTGTGACGTGTGCGCGTAGATACATCCGCGTAGTAAACCGATTGAATAAGTAAATCCGTTTCGACCGAAATAGCTAAATTATGTAAGTTACGAAAACCGCGCGAGTTCTGAAAGCCGTGCGAGACAACCGAAACGAGAAAAAAAGGCTTATTATCATTTAAAGAGTGCCACCAAAATAAATGTGGTAGCCTATATGCTATATGATATGTTAGAAAGTTGATTAATTTTGGTTTCCTCCCTTATCTACCTTCTCCCTATTTACTACTGAGCTTTGTATTGAATTAGTTAATTTAACGGACATTTCAAGATTTTGCGACCGTACCGAACAAGTTCTATACTAAATAAGTTCAAAAGCGTTTGACAATTCCCTAATAAAATGTGTATGGTTATTTTGCTTTGGTTCGGAGTATCATCCAAACCATTTGTGGAATAGTTACATCATTTGGGATATCGTTCATTTATTGTAATTTTTCATTAGGGAAGTTCTACCGAATTGCGTATCACTTCTACGTAAGCTCCGTAGACGTAGGCGCGTTGAATCCGACAGCTGCCAAAGGTTTAATATGCACTAAAACCAGTGACGACAACAATTGTAAAACCACAAACGAAGTGACAGACGGAGCGGCTCGAAAACTTTGGTGACTAACCTGCTATTTCAATTTTCATGGCAACACCACTACTACTGGATTGTACCACATGGCAACACTACTACCATAGAGGTAACTCTAAGACCACTGGGTCCCGAAGAAAATCATTATTATTTTTGGCTCACTCAGTACCAGAACAACGGTCCCAAGCAGTCCCAAGCTATTTCACTCACCCCTGTATGTTCTGCATGAATCCACACACCCCTGATGTTATCTGTCAAACTTTCATAGCGAATCAAAACAAACATAGTGTAGTAATAGAATTTCAACTAGAATAGGGTACGTTAATCGTTTGCTTGGGACCAATAGGCTACTAAAGTGGTGAGCCAATTTAAAATCGTTAGTTTCGTATTGATTGTTCCTACTACTGGCTTGTACTAGTATTTTCACCAAATGTATTAGAATGTTTTGGTTCTATCTCTTTCACTCTACTCAAAACTGAAATGCATAAAACAATGACAAATGATACACTCTTTGCACACTGTTGAAGAATCATTGTACACAAAATCAACTTTGTTCAAATCAAAACAAAAAAACTAACCCATCTGGTGGATGATGGCACAAGCTTCCAAGAAAATTCTATTACAGTGAACCACATTATTTTAATGGATTTCTTCGCCAGTTAGTCGTCTATTACTTCGTTTGTGCTATCACTGCTAGACTACAGGGTGATTCGGAAGAACTGTCCCTTTTTAAAATGGTCATAACGATTGAACGCTTGCATGAATTTTTGATATCATTATATTCCAGATATTCTACATATATAATCTTCAACTAAGCATAGTTTATTCCAAATCTCTCTCCCTTTACCTTAATTATCAGCCACATTTGTCATGAAAATTATCCACAGCTGGCACGCACGCTTTAGTTCCAGCACTTTTTGAGTCCTGTTGATGCGTTTAAGCTCTGATATTGAACGGATTTTCCAAGCATGGTTCCTTTGTACCTCTATAATGATGCAAAAATAAATGTTACATTCTTTCGAAGAGATTTCAGTTTCTAAAAGATAGCACACGATTTTTATAAAGATTTATGCCATTCTTCATTTTGACGTCAATGGCTGCTTGAAATCACAAACGAATGAAATTTCAAATCCTACTATCAATACAAGCTGATATTTGTACACACTTAAAACAAAAATACTTGAACATATACCCATTTTACCCATTGAGAATTGCATATTTGTGAAATCGGTGACAGTTATTCTGAATCACCCTGTAGATATTTGGTTCTCTCATGCAGTGGTTGATCAGAGATGAGAAGCTTAATAATCCCCTGCCCATGGCGCCATTCTATTGCGGCATGAGCCAGCAACGCCTACCGTATCAAACACTCCACTATAAAGCATGAAATTAAGCCCGCCCATCAGCAGCAAGGTGCAAAAACTAGCCAAAGGAGGGAGGAGTTTACGAGGAATAGGATATTTCGAGAGATTAAGCCCTATGTACATCTCACACTTTATTAACCTTATACAGCCCCTGCTTGCATCAGACTTTTATTTTTCAATAATTTCACATAACCGTAATTACAAATCTTTCTCATTCATCTTCAAGGTGGATATTTAAGGTATACTTTGGTGCAATAAGACCAATGAAAAAACGCATGGGTTAAGTAGAACATACGAAAATATTTTCAAAAAGGGGGCTGACAAAATCGGGTCATTACTGTATTGCAAAAAGGGCCCTTCGAGCTATTAATAAACTTGAAGGTTACTTAGGTATTACTAGGCTCCCACCACGAGTTCGAATTCCCGGTGATGAAGTCGAGGTGATAGACGAGTTCGTATATCTGGGCTCACAGGTGACCACCGATAATGACACCAGCAGATAAATCCATAGAAGATGTATGGTTGGGAATCAATCGTGCTTCCTTTAAACTTTAAATAACGCTCCGGTCGAAAAAAGTTTGCTGCACCACGAAGTTGACTTTCTACAAAATGCTTATTTGACTGATAGGCCTCTACGAAAACGAGACATGATCTATACCTCGATCTATGCTCAACGTGCCCTTGGTGTTTTTGAACGGAAGGTGTTGCGTACCATCTACTTCTTCTTCTTCTTCTTCTAGACTGTTTACGCTTCTGCAGCGAGTGTTTTGCCGACTCTCAACTTAGTTTTCTAGATTCACTTCCACAATTATTAATTGAGAGCTTTCTATGCCAACCAAGGCATTAATGTGTATATTGTGTGGCAGGCACAATGATACTCTATACCTAGGGAAGTCGAAAAAAATTCCAACCCGACAAAATTTCTCGACCGGACCGGGAATCGAACTCCAGCTTGGTTATACCGTGCCTTTAATGACTCGGCTATCTGAAGTCATCTACGGTGGGGTGCAGCTCGAAGACGGAAGAACTACCCATCGTTCACACCGCAAAAAACGGGCGACTACGGTGGACTGGGCACCTACTTAAGCATGGCGGACGAAAGTCCGGTGAAAATGGTACTCGATAACGAACCGACTGGAACGAGGCGAAGAGGCGCGTAGGTGGACCGATTAGGTGGAGCCTTTTTTTTCTTGATTTATTTTCCGTCGATCTTATTTGCCGTGCTGAGCACCAATGCTACCGACGCCAGGGAGGCAGCTCCCACACCTGGACCCTACCTATCGACCTATCGCTGCGAGGCTGGCTACGTGGAGCAATGGATCGAGTGAAATGGAGACGATTGCTGTGTATAGCAAAGTACACCCAGGCCTTCTCAGCCTGACTGGTAAGGTAAGTATCGTTAGGTTTGACTGCCACTGACAAAAAGTTCGGTTTCACTCGGTACATAGACTTTCTCACATGCTCTAAACCTTATCGTCAATCTACTAATAAAAGCACTCAAGTGTTTTCGAATAATTTTATTCAAGGATCTGAAAGTTTATTGTTTGAAATGGATTAAAAGTGTTATTGATACATTGTAATTTACAAACCGTTTAATGATTTCATTTGTAGCTATTCAAGTCCATATCAAAAGTGTAAAAAAATCTACGTTTATGTTTCCTAAAATCGTTGATTACCAATCCACTACTTTATTGTGAGAAGTCGCCATTATTTTGTTTTGTTTTCCGATACCTATACAATCCACGCATGTTGATTCAGGCGGTCGATTATCATTCTGCTCATTACTATTTGTAGGCCAGTTGAATGAATCTCATTCACGATTTTAGCATATTTTGTGTCTGTCATTTTTAAGACGAAAGCTCGTTGTGCATATTTAATTGATGTGCTTCCGATTTCTTCTGATTATAAAGAACCAGATTCTGCATTCCATTGTTGCTATTCTTTGAAATTGGAATTCAGAACATAGATGACAGTTTGTGCGAAACTTAAGAGAGTTGAGCGTAAGAGCCATGAAAATTAAATAACGAACAAACATCTAAGTAGAAAGTATTGCAATGCGAGAGCGTCCCTCGGGGACTCATGATGATTTGATTGAGTTGATCAACATCTTTGGACATAGTAAAATTGTGATCTGTTCGCTTATCGGTAGATCAACTTGTTCAGTTCCTTTCCGACTTCGTTTACGTATTGGAGGAATTCACTATTTAGGATGGTAGACCAATCGTAGAAATCAGATTTGCTAATGCATTTTTCGACGTATCGATGCACGAACAACACGTTCCCATCGACGCTTAAGGATTTAACAGCGTCTTGAGACCCCGTCCGATTGTAATCCTGAGGTCGGTAAATGTAGAATGACCGTTCGCTCCGTGCTTCTACATCGTAGAGTAGATTATCGGAGAATATCTTCTTCCTGCTGTCAATGCAAATTGTTCTCGATGTAATTGCGAATTGAGTCACATCGCTCGAAACTTTGCCGGCATACTTCAGGAACTGATTGTTACTGCGAAGCCTTGAATTTGGATAAATGTATTCGTTTATGGCACCGACGAAAGTGTATCTAGCTGCATTGAAGTTCCGCATTAGACAGTCCAGCTCAATTATTTGGCGGTTCTGCTGTTTACTGTACAGGTCAAAGGGGAAATTGTAAGGCAGCAGATTGATTTTGATTCCGTGATTGTACAGGGTGGTTGTTGTTATCGAATCCATAGCATTGCTGTTATAAACGATGAAATCGTCCACACCAACGATTTGATGATGAAGAAAATATTGCAACACAGCTGACGGTTTGCGGAATTCATCGTCCAATTCCAGGTAATTGTTCAAATCAACACAAGCAGTTATGGTCATCTTCTGTGGAATTGACTTGCTTTCGATTACTCGCAACGGGATGTATCTGCAATGTGGTTTAAAATAAAATAGGTAATCAACATCAATGAGAAGATCTATTTCCTTACCTTTTGATCGAATGCATCGAATCGGTGAGGATCACCTCCGTAGGTTGACCGAAATCTCTCTTGACCTTACAGAGAAACTTGTAAATCACAAACACCTCCCCATTTGGTGCCGCCACTGAACCGGTCGGATTATCCAGTCGAATAAAGTAAAACTTGCCCGGAACTACATCCTTTCCGCCGTGCTGCACTTGGCACTTGAAGTTTACTACCGCATGCTCCAGTCCGACCGCCAAGCTGACAACCGTCCCACCGGCTTCCAGGTCGTTCTTTTGCCAGTAGGCCGAATAGACGTACACATCACCTCCCACTCGCTGCCAACCCGGCAGTGGACTATCGAAGTCATACGGTACCGCTCGATAGCGGCTACTGTTGTCAATGCGGATCAGTGAAGCGGCATCACTTCGGCCGAAAATATTAACCACCTCCAGAACATATTTAAGCCGATTGTTTTCACTTTTGTAAACCAGCAGAATTGCAACGCAGCTGATAGAGATAAGGACCAGAGCCAGTTGCTGATACTTTCGCATCGCGGCGGCCACTCAGGCTTTGAACCGAACTCAAGCCAAAACAATGCACACTGCCCTCGAGGATGGTTAGATAATTTTCTTCGGTCTTCTTGTCGGATGTCACTTCACTTTTGGCAGCACACTTTTCCTCTGTCGTGTTTTTTGTGGAGGATGAGGGACAAGCGCAATGCAGTGCCTGGGATGCCGACCGGATAATCAAAAACGACGAGTTTAGGTGATTCGTCGTTTGCTGTCTGCGATTGCGACAGAGGATTTTAACTATTTTTGTTTTGATTAACAAATGCACTAGAATTTTCTTAATCAAATGCTGAGACCAGTATCATATTTGAGAAATTTTATATTTTTTCAACATTTGAAATACGTATACTACCTTTCGGCATCTAACTTTCTTTTAAATTTGCTATGTAAAAACATAGAATTCAGAACATCAAATTGTAAAACTTCTTGAAATGTTCTGCTAAATAAGAACATACAATGCACACGTTAAGGCAAGTTTGGAATATAACTGCTGCATGAATTAATCATCTTTCGTTTTGCTATGAGTTTTTCGTTTGTCAAATTCATGCAAGGTATTTTTAGTAAAAGGTTTTCTGTGGATCAGCTGTGAACGTACGCCATGTCCCAGATCAACGATGCCATCAGCGTTGCCAGATATAACGATTTAACGGTATTTTTTACCGATTTTCTAACTTTATACCGATAAGGTGAACATTAATAAGGTTTCTCAGATTACCGATTTTTAGATTGTTTACTATTTGCGCGAATATTGATGGTCCGATTGTAAGGATAACAGTAAACAAACAAACTTTTTGCTGAAGTGAAAGTGACGATAGCAAACTTCGCACATGAAAATGGGTTTACGCAATTGAGCGTGTAACCCACGTCAGAAAGGTCAATTGACTTCTCTAAAGAGCACCCCTTACGACAAAAGTTTCGTCAATGTGTTCATGTCAATATTTTCGGGGGGTCATCAATACAGGGTCGCTCCTCACTAACATTGTCGTATCTGATGTAATATAGACTTCTCTGACGTTTGTTAAATGCACAAGTATTAGCATAGAGGTAACTCTAAGACCAGAAGGCCCCGAAGAAACGTGCTCAACACTTTGGCTCAGCTCTGGTACTCTCTTCGGTCCCAAGCTAATCGATGCACTCCTCGAAACATAGGAAAATCTACGAACCCCTGATTTTATCTGTCAAACTTTCATATAAAATCAAAACAAACATAGTGTAGTACTGGAATTTTGACTAGAATGGAGTACGTTAATCGATTTGCTTGGGACCAATAGGCTAGTCAAGTAGTGGGCCAATTTAAAATCGTTAGTTTCGTATTGATTGTTGGTATTAGTGCAGAACTTAGGGTAAATTATAAGTATTAGTACAAGAAAACCTTTGAGTTTACCCAAAGTTCTGCACTAACACTTGTGCAATTCACAAACGTCAGAGAAATCTATTCGGCGTCAAATCACAACCACCTTGACAAAAGGTGCTGAGGAACACTAACAGCCCAAGTAACATTTCCAGTTTTATAGAGGTTTTATAGCATTCTATAAGTCTAAATCATGGTCTACAAAAACTTCATAATACCAAAATTGTTACTTGGGAGGTCCCATCCACAAACGAAGTGACAGACGACTAACTGGCGAAGAAATATATTAAAATAATGTGGTTCACAGTAATAGAATTTTCTTGGAAGCTTGTGCCATCATCCACCAGATGGGTTAGTTTTTTTGTTTTGATTTGAACAAAGTTGATTTTGTGTACAATGATTCTTCCGAGGGGGACGACTCTATCTACGATGCAGGAAATATTGTGTTTTGCTGTGGCTAGCTGCGCGTACGCTGAGTAGATAGAAAGAAGATTTATCACGATATTGAAGATTTCCTGCAAAAAGATCATGCGCGATGCAAGTAGATGCGAGAAATGAAAGAAGATTTTTCGAAGATTTATTCGCTAGTGTAAGATTTTTTGAGCATCTAGAATTGAGATTTAGATGTGTCGCCCCCCTCGGATTCTTCAACAGTGTGCAAAGAGTGTATCATTTTGTCATTTTTTATGCATTTCAGTTTTAAGTAGAGTGAAAGAGATAGAACCAATACATTCTAATTGGCGTTGACGGCACCGTCGAAAAATTTGTCCTTCCAGCAAATATAGACAGTTTCTTATGGGAATTTTCGGTGGAGTGAAAGGATAGTACAAAGTACGCCATGTTTCACGCACAGTCTGACGTTTGCTTATGGATTTTCTCATAGGAGTAAAGAGCTACAGAGTCGCCGTCAACGCCAATACATTTGGTGAAAATGCTAGTACAATCCAGTAGTAGTGTTGCCATATGGTACTATCCAGTAGTAGTGGTATTGCCATGTGGTACACTGAAAAATTGCAATAGCAGGTTAGTCACCAAAGTTTTCGAGCCGCTCCGTCTGTCACTTCGTTTGTGGTCCCATCTATAGTCGCTATATTTATAGCCTGGCGGATAGAATTTCAAGCTATCAAAAAGCGGAACCAATTCAATATATTGTAACCGAACAGTTGCAAAGGTACTATCCACTTTTATAAACACACATTTGATCGGAAAGGGGAAACTTTCCCCAACCCGACGATGGTGTGGGTTTGCGTAGGCATTAGAGTGATGCAAAATTTGAAATTTTCGCTCCACAATACTTAAACGATTCCAAATCTGATCCTGACTATAACCTCTCAAAATTTGAACCCATTTGGTGAGAAACTGAGATGGCACAAACCATTTGAAGTTTGTTTGGGAATTACTATGGTAAAACTAAGATTTTTGTTCATGTATATCTAATAATTCACCATATCGGTCTGCTTCAAAATCTTCCAACTGTACTTGTAGGAAATTTTCCCAGCTACAACTTTGCTGAAGTTCACTTTTTGATTAAATGCAAGGATCGAAAGTTATCAATGGTTCAATGCACTGATGTCTTATGATCATGCTCAATCAACTGCTCAGCAGGCAACATTGGTGTTTTTGAGGCGTTGAATAGGACACAACAATCATGGCTACTATGTCACACTGCAAAATACAGTGTTGCCTACAGAGCAGTTGCTTGATCATGTCATAAGTTTACCAATCTATTAAATAATTAATAACTTTTTCCTGTCTCGTTTTACATAGAAATGATCTTCAGCAAAGTTGTAGATGAAAAAATTTTCTATAATAATGGCTATCGAACTGTTTTGCAGCTCAATATGGAAAAAGACTAGAAGGCAATGAACAAAAAAATGAGATTTCCCATAGTAATTTACATGTAAACTTCAAATGGATTGTGCGAAGTCTGTTTCTAACCGAATGAGTTGTAACATTTGGAGGCTAATCAGGACCCGATTTGAAACCATTTAAGCACTGTGGAGCGAAAAAGGCAAATTTTGCATCAGTCTAGTAGGCATGCCTTGAATCACGAGAAGAGGATTTCCGAAGTTTTGTTCGCAAAATCTGATGTGCTGTTTTCTGTTGTTGGTCGTGATATACTTGATTGGTTCCGTTATTTGACAGCTCAATTGGTTCCCGAGATTCTATTCGCCAGACCAAGGTGACTTCATATAGGTGATCTAATGTGTCAAATTCATGATTCAGCCATGTTGGATTTTTAAATAGAACAGCGACCGAGTTTGTTTACAATTTGCTCTAAAACCGCACTTTTTCCCTCCGCGACCTCATCGCCTATATAGTGACAAAGCTGTATCACCATATATATACCCACCATGCGCCAGACTATAAATATAGCGACTATCAGTGCTGTAAATTCTCAAAATCATTTGAACATTTTTGATGAAAATGAGAAAAGTAGCTATTCGCTATCAAAGGGGACCTCCTCCGAATGGGTGATATCAGTTGCTTAGTCATTTGACGAAGGCATGGATCATTCTCATTTGAGAAACGCTATATATCATTCGATTGAGTGTAACCTACACACAAACGGAGCTCTGGTCGACATTCCGGCGAAAAAGCTAAGCCAACCCGACACCAACCTGACTTCTATCAAACCCCAACCCGATGTTGACCCGACATTGACCCGACATAAACCCAAAATTGACCCGACATTAACACGACATTGGGTCGACATCGACCTTAAATTAGCCTTACATTGATCCGACATCGGGTCGACTTGTCTGTTCGGGACCATTTTCCTGGATTTCTTCCATACTCCACTGTCGTATATCAAATGATACTGATGGTGGTAAGCTCCAACCGGTATTATCCTCGGATTAAATCCCGATCAAGAATGTCCGACTGCTTTGATGTTGACGTCAGAGTTAATCAACACTACTTTATGCAAACATTTTGTAGATCATCCAAACAGGGACGGTATTAAAAGTTAATCAGAGTTGGAGCTTACCGCCATGAGTGACTCAATTGACAGTGACAATGAGCTTCGAATGAGAAAGGGGCTCTTCTAATTATGATCATGTGAGAATTCGTTTACACAGAATTGATTGAATGGTTGTAGTGGTTCATATTCAATCGAATGATATGAAAATTTACAGCACTGGCGACTATAGCTCCATCTGCTGCTGTAGTAAAACAGAAAGGGACAATGAGGGGAAATATTGAAACATGAAATCAAATTTTTTTTTGTGGACCCTACACGATTGCTTTTATATACAATAATCGTATCGTCAATACATTCAATATTGACGTCAACACATCAGTATTGACCATATTTCTGCATCCACATCATCAATACTGTTGTCAATAATTCCCCTTCGCATCAATATATTGATATGTGTGGGGTTCGCTAAAAGCGATTTTGCGTCAATATATTCGTATTCGTATTCGTATTCGTATTCATATTTGCATCAATATAAAAGTATTGACAATATTTTTGCTTAACGTTTGTCGGGTAAATGTTTGTGTCGAAGTGCAAAATAGGAGTCTCTAAAACGCTGTACAGACTGGAGAGTTATTTGTTTATTTGTTTATTTATTTAAAAATTCAACTGACAATTATTGTTTAAATGAATAAAACTTAAACTAAATAGTTACGGTCAACGGTACGGAAAAGGCCAAGTAGCCAATGACGAAACACGTCAGCTGATACATTGAAGTCGAACATATAAAAAAAGTTGTTGAATTGCCGGCTGATTGCTCGAATTGGCTCGTGTTGTGTATAATTCCGGCTTCGGGGGTTTCAAAAACAGAAAGTCGCGTTGACGAAGAGACCTCTCAGGGGCATACATATTTAGCTGTGACAGCAGTGTTGGACAGTCAATGTCACCTGTAAGTAGCTTTCCAGCGAACATAGCTTGAGCGACCG